GACTTTGATACCACGTGGCACTCAGGCTTGCTGTATAAGTTATCAAAATTGGAATTCTCTAAATCTTTGACCAAGCTTATTGGGTCCTTTCTATCTAAACGTAAATTCAGGGTATCTGTTGAAGGCGAAATGTCAACGCCAAGGGAAATGCAAGCAGGGTGCCACAAGGTTCGGTCCCTTCCCCCACTCTTTTCAACATGTATATTAGTGATGTCCCCCAAACTAATGTTATTTATTTGGCCCTCTATGCGGACGACACCTGTCTATATGTGACAGATCGCAAAGAGTGTTTTATTGTTAGAAAACTCCAGCGCGGTCTCAGCTCAATGGAGACCTGGCGTGAGCGCTGGAATATAAAAATTAATGAAGATAAGACTCGGGGGGTCTACTTCTCTCGTGGTCTTCGACCGCCTGAGTCTTGTCTTACTCTAAATGGAAGAAATATTCCATTTGTAAATGGTGCAGAATATCTAGGTGTAATCTTCGATAAGAGAGTGACTTCGAGATTACACAGAGAAATGATCGAAGCCAAGGCCTTCAGAACATTCATTAGAGTGTATACCCTATTCAAAAGTAAGCGATTGAGCGCGAACATTAAACTGACCCTCCATAAAGCTCTTATTAGATCCGTAATGACTTATGCTAGTCCCGCCTGGGAGTTTGCCGCAGACACTCATCTAGTGAAATTGCAGCGCCTGCAAAACAAAGTTCTCGGGAGGATTGGCAATTTTCCAAGGCGCTCACTGGTCCGCGATTTGCACATGGCATTCAAAATCCCTTATGTATAGGATTACATATGGCGCAACCTTCAAGGAAGAACGGGCCAATGAGTCCTTCGTATGTCACGCCGACCTACACCATCACTCCCGGGGAATGGAAATCGTATTCAATGTTGGCACTGGGGTTCTCTGGCCGCCAAAACAGGCAGTTGTGTCTGTTGACCGATCGTGATATGTGAAATTTGGTCGTAAGTCCAGACAATATTCCGGATAAGGTCAGGGTTCTCCTGAAACTTGGTCAGCATCAACTCGGCGAACTCAAGTCGCCTGTCGAAGTCGTCCTCGTTAAGAACATGAATAAGCCGTGGATGGTATGGC